CCGCGGCATGTGGGATCTTCCTGGACCGGGGCACGAACCTGTGTCCCCCGCATCGGCAGGCGGACTCTCAAACACTGCGCCACCAGGGAAGCCCCCGTCTCGTAATTTTTGATTGCATGCCCAACATTGTGTGTGGGCCAGGAGAGTCTGAGGTAGTGTTCATGCCTCCTTCTCTGCTCGGTCATTAGTGGGGTGTGGGGGTGAGTCAGTTTGGTCTGGAGTTGAGCTGGATTTGCGTTTCAGTGTGCTGTGGCCACCTTCCACACAAGACTCCTCCAGCACTGCCCTGTGCTTATGGTGGGGATGGGATGCTGAGGGATTTTCTCAGTGCAGCTGCCCACTCTCTGCTTACAGCCTTCCTTGTCTCTGCACACTTTGGCCTCACCCAGAGTGGTGGCTGCTGTTGCTATCACTCAGCACTTGTTAGCTTGGTGGTGATGGGAGCGGTGTTTTCTGTTGTCCCAATCCAGCCTCAGCGATGGTCTTTGCAGCTTTCCACATCCTAGATGCAAGTTAAATTCGCGAGGTGATTGCAGGTGAAACAAAGGCAAATTTTAAACAAATTTCTTTAAGTTGTTTCATGTTTAGTCTATGATACAGAAGAATAATGGATTTCCATTTATATTGGCACATACAGTTTTCTTTTAAATTAGGTTTTGGTTTTTAAGAAGTGATTAAATTTAACGGAAAATAGTCCCTAAATAATGCTGATTATCAGTGGACGTTGGGAAGGCACACGCACGAGTGATGTTTTGGAAACACTGAGCTATGGCCCATTTCTGATAGAAAGTCTCACCCAGCACAGGAGGCACGCAGGTCATGACAATGGCATGTTCGATGTGCTTCAAATAGCTGCTTTTCATCCTTCTTTGAAGCAGAAGGATGAGGACTGCGATGATGGGCAGGGAGAGCTCTGGTGTGCCTGGGGCGTGTGTGTGCGTGTGTGGGTGTGTGTACGCACGTGTGTGTTGAAGCTTCTACGACCTACTTCCCCCGGCAGCCCCATCCAGGCTCTGGCATCTTGACTCTGACACACTCACATTGGAACTCTGAGCCCCTCGTGTTATCGCCTCTCAAACCGTCCTCCCAGCGTCTCCACCTCTCAGGTGAGGCGTGTGTGTATGTATATGATGCACGTGTATATATGATGTATGCATGGGTATATGATATATGGATGTATGTATATGATGTGTGTGTACAGTGTATGATGCATATGATGTATGTTTGTATGATGCATGTGGGGGCAATGTATGTGTGCATATGACGTATGTGTGAATGATGCGTGCATGATGTGCACCTGTATATGATGTGTATATGATGTGTATGTGTGTATGATGTGTGTACGACGTATGTGTATGTGTATATGATGCATGTGTATGATGCGTGCATGTATGGTGTGTGTATGTATGATATATATGTGTGTGTGATGCATGTGTATGTGTATATGATGTATGTTGGTATGATGTGTAGCTCTGCCCTCCCAATGGCTCGGGTTAGAAAACTCTGCACTCCTTCCTCACCTGGCAGATCAACCTTCGAAGTAGGAACCGAGCTCATCACTTCTCTCCATCTCATGACCACCATGCTGGTCAAGCCCCCGTCCATTGCCGAATAATGGCCTGAGTCCATCTCCCTGGCCTCTGTGCCCTGCCTTTGCCTCCCTACAGAGTCTTTTCAACCAGCTGCATAACTCATGATGTGCACCCACCAGGGCCCTGCTCCCTTGGCGCGGAGGCCGAGGTCTTCACAGCACTTACAAGGCCACGTGGGTACTCCCCTCCCCGCCTAAGCTTTTGCTTAGTGAGCAGTCGTCTGTGTCTCTGGCAGTTCTGGTCTCAGCCAGCCTCTCCCCCTTGTTTACCTCACTGGTGGGTAGTCAGCAGCTGGACGGCCTGTGATGGCCTGATTTCCGGGTTCTGGCAGCAGGCAGGCTGCTGGCCAGGGCATGGGACTGCTGGCTGGGCGGTCACCTCTTCTCCACGTGGGTGGTCCTCAGCAGGCTCACTCAGGTGTGTTCCTTGGAGGTACCTGGCTCTTATTACCAGCTCTTTTCAAACTCCTGTTTGTGTCACGTCACCCCTGTGTCATTACCAGCCCAAACGGAAGGGACGGAGACTGGCAGGGGAGGACTCGTGGCCGCTTTTTGCAATCCCCAAGGGCCACGTGCTGTCTAGCAGGGTCCACCTCCAGTGGACCCTTGCTTATCCGAGTTTAGCAGCCCCCGACCTGGGTTGGGCAGCAGCAGCTATGCAGGGTGGTCATGGCGTGCATGGAAACTCGAAAACTCGGAGTCTCCAGCCACGTGAAAGCAGTTCAGGAGGTGGCAGTGAGCGCTCTCTGAGGGCATCCTGCACCCGCAAGGTCTTCACGGCCAATGGGACCACGCTGTGTGAAAACCTGGACACTGAGACATGGGGCTGCACAGTGATTGTGAGATAACAGAAATGCATGTCGGTCTCTGTGCCTATCATGGCACAGACCCCCTGAAACCCCTGTAAATTCCTAAGTGGGAAGAATACTCGAGCATCTTTTTCTCTAACAAGTGGACACTGGGTGGGCTCCTGGTTGGCTCCGGCACAGGGGCTGAAGGCCAGAAGGGCCAAGCCATGCTTACAAGCCTGGGGTTTTCAGCCCTCCTTCCCCCTCATCCTCCAGAGAGGGGAGAGACGCTGGAAATGGACCTCATGTGTGTGACCCCTGTGGGTGTGACCCCTGGCTGTGTCCCCTGTGGGTGCGACCCCTGGGTGTGCTCGGCCGGGGTGAGCGGCGCTGTCCATCAGGCGGCCTCTCGTTTACACTTAATTGAAGTCAAGGCGAGCAAGCCTCAGCTCCGCAGTAACACCACCGCCCCGGGCTCCGCGGGAGACGAGGGCGCAGACTCGTCCTACACGGTTTCCAACTGGCAGCGCAGTTTCAGCGTCTCCCTGGATTTGGGTTTATCGGATTGCTTCTTCATGCGCAGCTCTGGGTCATCTCGACAGGACTAATGCACAAGGGATGGCACAGTTTTCTCGCCCGTGACGCCGTTTGAATCAGCACCGCAAACCTCCAACGTCAGGGGGACCTACCTGGCCCAGGCGTCAGTCACCCCGCGCTCCCGCCACCACCAAGATGGCCGCCATGCGGCGCCACCAAGATGGCTACAGAGGCTCCGCCCTGAAGGGTGTGGCTGGGCAGCTGGCAGCCAATGGGCGCGCGCGCCTGTCCGCGGCCAATGGGAAGGAAACGCGGGCCAGAAGCCGAGAGACGTCGCCCGTGGCTCGTTCGCGAC